CAGTGACACCTTCTGCACTAAGCTTTGTGACGGAAGATACAGCAGGAGTCCAGAACCCACATTCCCACCACGGCCTAAATTAGGGATCTGTAAACTTTTAAAACAATTTTATTTATTAATACTTTTGAGAGAGAGAGAGAGCGCACAAGTGGGGGAAGGACAGAGAGAGAGGGAGACACAGAATTGGAAGCAGACTCCAGGCTCCAAGATGTCAGCACGGAGCCCGATGCAGAGCTTGAACTCACGAACCGTGAGATCATGATCTGAGCTGAAGTTAGGCACTTAGCCAACTGAGCCCCCAGGTGCCCCTGGGATCTATAAACTTTTTACGTAAGGGGACAAGTAGTAAATATTTAGGCTTTGCAGGCCACAGGAAGTCTCTGTGACATGTTCTTCTTTTTAAGATGAAAAACCTATTCTTAGCTTGAGGGTTGTAAGTGGGATTTGGCTCATGGGCTGTAATTTGCTGAACCGTTACATGAAAGAAGGGTGGGGCGATGATGAACTCAGGGGAGCATATGGTCAGCCTCAAGGTAACCTCTGTACCCTTGGCCCCAGCTGATTCTTGACCAGCAGGCACTCAAGAGGAACCGTTACTACATTTTGATCGGAGTTTTCCAGATTTTAAAAACTGACACCTAAATTCAAAGATTGGCACGCTAATAGGCAGACCCAAGCCGAACACACACTCGGGCCTGCTGTGCTGTGGGCTGCAGTCTGTGACCGGGAACAAGGCCCAGCCCATCAGGACAGGGTCAGGAATCTCAGGCTGCTGGCTCTGGTGATTCCCGTGTCTTAGCTGGTGCTCGGGCACGTGTGGCTTCCTCTTCCTCCACCTTCCAGCCCTTCCCTTTTGCCTTTCTCTACTTTTCTTCTTTTATTTTTTTTAATCTTTACTTATTTTTGAGAGAGAGACAGAGAGAGAGAGAGAGAGCGCGCGAGTGCGAGAGGAACAGAGACAGAAGGAGACGTAGACTCCGAAGCAGGTTCCAGGCTCTGAGCGTCAGCCCAGAGCCTGATGCGGGGCTTGAACTCACAAACCGTGAGATCATGACCTGAGTGACGACGCTTGACCGACTGAGCCACCCAGGTACCCCTCTCCTTTTCTCTCCTCATGAGGCCCTTCAAAGCTTCAGTGCAAATATATCCTCATCGCACACACAGGGGGTTCACCGTTATACCCACTCTAACACAATCCTGTGAGGCATTTTCATGAATATTCCTCCCACATCAGAATTCCATGAAAGGTATGGAATTCCATGAAAGGCTGGCCTTGTGCCAGCCACACATGAAGAATGAGACCTGAGCAGCGTGTAGCCCCTGATGATGAGGGGGGGTCACGGCATCATCCGGGACACTGAGCTCCATGGAGAAATGATGATATGCCTCAAAGGCAATTGCCAGAAGGATTCCTACTTGTGCTGGGGAGGAGCCCTAATGTCATCCAGGGAGACGGGAACTTGGTTGCCCTTCCAGACAGAGGACTCAGCACACATGCAGAGAATGGCAGGTGGGGGGCAGGAAAGGGCCAGAGGAAGCCGAGTGTAGCTTCCAAGTACAGGGGGTGGGTGTGGGGAGACCGGACCTAACTAACCACCTCCCCGACTCATGTCCCCACCCAGGTGGGTACTGACCGATGTCCCCCGGTACCTCAGACTTGGGCAATGCCTCACCATAAAAATGAGTGGCTCTACAGATTCCGGAAGTTTCCATCTGAGGATTCTTACTGCCTGAGAGGTGGCCTCTTTTTTTTTGAGGGGAAAGTGGCCACTAAAGATCGTCATCTGGAGATGACAGTATCTCCTAGAAGATGAGCCTTTGGGTATCCCTGCTGGGAAGCAGCAGCAACCTGAGGCCACCGCAGGCAATTCTGACGAGGGCATCTTTGGTCAGGACGGTTGCCTTTCTTCCTACGTGAGTTCGCGTGTGAGAAAACCCGCTTTGTTTCTTCCTTTACTTTTTAAATGTTTTTTTAATCTATTTTTTTTTTAATTTTTTTTTTCAACGTTTATTTATTTTTGGGACAGAGAGAGACAGAGCATGAACGGGGAAGGGGCAGAGAGAGAGGGAGACACAGAATCGGAAACAGGCTCCAGGCTCTGAGCCATCAGCCCAGAGCCCGACGCGGGGCTCGAACTCACGGACCGCGAGATCGTGACCTGGCTGAAGTCGGACGCTTAACCGACTGCGCCACCCAGGCGCCCCTTAATCTATTTTTGAGAGAGAGAGCATGCAGACAGGGGTGGGGCAGAGAGAGAGGGGGACAGAGGATCCGAAGCAGCTCTGTGCGGACGGCAGCGAGCCTGACGTGGAGCTCCGGCTCGCGAACCGCGAGATCGTGACCTGCGCGGAAGTTGGACGCTCAACCGACGGAACCACCCGGGCTCCCTTGAGAAAATCTGCTTTTTAAAATTCCAGCCACAAAACCTACGCACCCAGACAGAGCCAAATTCTGTTTTGAAGCTTCACTCTGTTTTACCTGCTCCTCTCCTTGCATCTTCCCTTCGCTCATCTGAATACTAAACGAGCGAGGCTGGCGGGAAGGAGCAGCCGACAGCAGCCAGCGGGCAGGTAAAATCCAAGAGGCCGCCCTGGAAGCCAAGGAGGTGGCTTCTGAAGCTGAGCGTCTGCAGAGATGCTGGGAATCTGCACCGCAGGCCGGCGACCGGAGCGGCTGTTCGCCTGACCGCCCAGCCCGGAGGGACGCGCTGCCATGGCAACGGCCAGCTGCAGCAGAGGCCACGCAGAGCCAGAGAAAAGCAGCAGGATTCATAACGGCGATCAGGAAGGCAGCCCCAAAATGCACCAGGGGAAAATACAGGTTTCTTGAGACGGCTGTCAAGACGGGGCAGCGTTAGGAAGGAAGAAGAAGTTTGCACAGCGCGTCAAAGATTACATTTTGGGGACAGTGTGTCTTCCCTAAATATACAATGTGATGACATTCCAGGAAGTTAGTGGGTTGTTGAAATATTTAAATAAAATTCTATTTCTGCAGGAGCGTGTTGATGCACATTTCTCACTTGTTTGAGACCTACAGAGTGCTTTCACAGCCTGCCTTTTCCCCCCCAATGACCCACACGGTTGGGGTCAGGAGGAGAAAGCCATCATTACATCTGTTTTGCAGATGAGCAATCACACCGAGTTTCTAAGTAATAGAAATGGCTCAGTCCCGGACATTCAAGCATAAAGCTATCCTATTGCCTGCCCTTAAAAACGGTTTTCAAGAACTGATGTGTTCCTGGGTTGAGAAAAAGTGCTCATCTCTAGTTCGGGAAGAGCTGTCCATTCCAACCCAGTATTGACAGAAGACGGTATTGACGTAATCAGAAGAATACATGTTTGCATTTTTTTTTTTTTGAGCCAGCAACCTTACTTCCTGGAATTTCACCTAAAAAAATAGCCTTAAATGTCAAAAGATATACCAGAAAGGATGTTCATCACAGTGGTGTTTGTAGTAATAAGAAATGGAAAATTTCTTATTACTAATAATAAGATCTATCTTATTATCTAATAAGATCTATATAAGATCTAATAAGATACGATTTGTTAAGTAGATGGTGGAAGGTATCATTAGGAATCGCAGACGAGTACTTAAGGGTATACAAGAGTGATGTCCTTCCGGAAGGCCGTTAATGAGGGCCAAAGAGAAGTGCGTGGAAGGAAGAAAGTCAAGAACAGCCCTAATTCCCCCGGTGAAAGCTGGAACAGGTCTCCCGTGGACTCTCACTCATCTGGGGATGATCCTTTTAACCCTGGTGATGAAGAAGGGATCTGAGACTACCTTTCCAACTTTATGGCAGTGGTGGGTAGTAGCTGATTATCTCCGATTTCAGGCAGAGAAAGAAAAGCTAGGTTTGGGGCTGGACACTCTTCCTCCCAAGAGATGAGCCCGGCCTTGATTCCTTAGTTTTCTTTTCCCCTCTCCTGCCAAGGGGTGGGTTGACAGTCAGCTTTCTCAGTCCTGTACAAACTGGTTAATTCACCCCCCGGTAGCCATGCATGTGGGGGAGCATGCACACGTGTGTGTGTGTGTGTGTGTGTGTGTGTGTGTGTGTGTGAGATGACTGATTTACGAGGTGGTGTCGCCATGTTCACTAGTAGCTCTAGGTGGTGGGATTATGGAAGCGGTTTTACCTTCTACAAAATGCTGATCTCTAGCCTCTTAATTTCCTTTTTAAAAGTTTTTTTTGACATTTATTTATTATTAAGAGACAGAGAGAGACAGGGCATGAGTATGGGAGGGGCAGAGAGAGGGGGAGACACAGGATCGGAGGCAGGCTCCAGGCTCTGAGCTGGCAGCACAGAGCCCGACGTGGGGCTCGAACCCGCGAATCTCGAGACGATGACCTGAGCCGAAGTCGGCCGCTGAACCGCCTGAGCCACCCAAGAGCCCCTCGCCTCTTAATTTTCAACACTGACTATGAAATTCTTTGTAATAGGAAAAAGAACAGTAAAGTGTGCTATAGAAATATTGACATTTCTAGCCAACGAAATATCTCCTACCACTGTCCCCCCAACTCCTCACGCACAGAGTTTTCTTGCCATTTTCTACTGAAGCGATCCTCTCACACCTGGGCTGCGTAGGGCCTTGGGCAAGACATACACTCAAGGCTCTCCTGTCAGCCTGGACTCCACGCATCCAAACCAAGGAAGTGTAAAAATGGCAGCTTTTACAATTGTACAAGTCAACTGTAAACAATCGTAAAAGTGGTCGTGCAGCTCTTTAAATATCACCAGATTGTTAGTCTTCTAGGTTTGCCTTTTTTAATTCTTGGATATGAGAACCCTGAACGAAGTCTTACTTGAAGAGCAGTGCCTTCAAAGCAGGAGGCAAGGTACTGCCCGCGTCTCTAACAGGGCCTGGCGCCACGGAGGGAACCCTTCAAAGGCCAGACACAGGCAAAGGCCTGATTCCTTGTTAGCTGCCTGAGCCCTGAGGGCCGGCTGGGGGGGCCGGCTGGTAGGGCTCTGGGGTGTGGGCCTCGCCCGGTCACACGCACCTGCCTCGTCCGCGGTGATGGAGAGCTCGTTGCTGGGCTCGCTCTTGCCAATCCGGTTCTTGGCATACATGCGGATGCTGTAGGTGGAGGAAGGGTGGATATCAATGATGGTGGCCGAGTTCAGCTGAGGGGAAACATCTTTGGTTCTCTGAGCAGAATCCCAGGAGTCTTTTGGGTTTTGTTTTTCAAAAAAGAAGAGATAGAGACGTGAGTTTTTTTCCTCTGCCTTTGACAGTCCACAAGTAGGAATTAAACACACACACACACACACACACACACACACACACACACACACACACAGAAAGGAAGGAGGAAGGGAAGAAAGAAAAGTTAACAACTCTAAGTGAATTCTCAAAGCAATGCTCCCAGTGTGTTCCAGCGGGCTGGCCACCAGAGGGGGACATCATACTCTCGTTACCCACGCTGACGGGGACAAGGGCCGTGGGTGGCTGAGTCCGGGAGGACCTCTGAGGCAACCCCACCCGTGTACCGGTGGATATGAAGGAGGACAGTACACGCGGTAAAAGCACATGTCAGTGAGGCGGTAAACAGCTGTAGCAAGGCACTCATTGTACAGAACAGCAAAGGGGATTACGGTTCAGGCACTGCCTCCCGCCCCCCGCCCCCCAAATCCCTGGTTCTAAAAGGCATTTGAAGAGCAGAAAGACCTCTAGCCATATCAGATCCTTCCTTCTCCAGAAGCAGAGGGGTGAATGTGAAATACCTCCATAAACACGAATCTCAGTCTCCAGCGTCAACGTTTACTTTCAAAGAATTTATTGTAGGGATTCTTTTTCAACCACAGTAATATTAACAAGAACCCATGCCCCATGTGAAGAGGGAGCATTGGAGAGGTGACAGTTTGTACCTGCTGATATTTAGGCTTCAACCAATAAGGAGCAAACAATTCTTATTTCAGAAAACATTTCGGCGGTTGTTAAGGGCAGGGGGTGAGGGATCAAGAGATGGGATCAGTTGTGGGAGAAAAAAGACAGAAGGTGGAAGACAGAGATGACGCTTACGTACTCCCACAGCCCCCGGGGTCCCCTAGGGTGACGTTCGCTTGCAGGAACCTCACTGAGATTCTGCATTCCCTGCTGGATTCTGAGCTCCATGACAGCAGAGACCATGCTCGCCGTGTTCAATGCCGTGTCCCCAGTGTTTGCACAGTGCCTGATGCACAGCAGACAAGCCATGATTAAATGCATATTTAACAGATAGATACATAAATGGCACACACACAGACCTCCGAGCCCTGGGTTCGTTTCCCCCTTCCACGTTAATGATGAGCACGGACGTTTAGAGGGCTGGTCTGCCTAAAGGTAGCCGTGAATGTTAAGAGGTCTTCTGGACCTTGTACCAAAATAGGTTTCTTCAAGGTGGCCTTGGAATGCTGTATCTTATCAGAGAACACAGCACAATGAATATCCATTGCATCTAAAAGGAAAACTGTCACTTGAGTCAAGAAGACTGAAGATAGAAGAACTCGGACGTAGAAGAAGCTGGTTCAAAAATTCCAATGGTGGAAGGGAAGAGTGGGTTTCAACAGACGAGCCCGAAGTGAGGGGATTAAGTGCCAGTGGCCTGACACGTAGACACGAGCCTTGTCCTGCAAGGAGAAAGCCAAGCCTTCTGGAGAAGACGTCTGGAACAAGACAGGAACGCCCAGGCACTAGAAGGTGCAGAGAAAGTAGCTAACCAGCCCTGGGAGGAAGCAGATACTTGTGGTGGTTGATGGCTCTGCCCAGGGCCATGTGGAGGTTTCTGGAATTGCCAGGACGTGTCTGGGAGGTGGCCGAGAGCCCGAAGAGGCATAGTGACACCCACTGACCACCTCCTCCTCCTGCCAATCAATTCATGAGTAGTCCGTGGGGTCGTGGCCAAGGCCGGGGGTCATGGGCTGGAAGCAGAAGGTGTTTTTAGCTTCTTTCTAAAGAGTTCTTACTCTTTCACAGAAAAAAGGATGATGTCAACGATCATGATTATTAGAATAAGGCTCAAAACAACACAGGGTGGGTTTTGAGCTGAAGGTCAAGAAGATGAGAAAGAATGTTTTATCCCGGAAGATTTGAAAGTAACCGAGTGGAGAAGGAGAAGAAAGCGTAGTTCAATCCACCAGACACCCTCTGGCAAATGATACAGCATCAAAGGAGGAATGAAAACAAGGGGGTGACTACCCAGGAGAAAAGAGTCGGGACAGGGCTTGGAAATGCGGCTTCTGATCTCAGACGCCGACGTGCGGACAGGCAGGACGTGGGTTATTAGCAGACTGTGCTGGAGAATGTAACCCTGGGCGTTACAAACAACCACAGAGCGATCCTGGCACTTGGGAGGATGGAAATGCACACTGAAATGCAAATACAACCAGGAAGGGTTACCACGGACAAAATACAGAAACTTAGGGGTACGTCACAAACAGAAATGCAGGCTGGGGAATCTGAGAGGCCTGGGATGCAGGCATGAATGGAGAGTACTGACTGGTTAAGGGCACGGACGGGAAGAGGCAAGGAATGAAATTGTCAGGGGAATTTATCACGGGTCTCCCTGCCCAGTGGAGGAAGGGGACGGTGCTGTCCGGATGCAGAGAACGAACGCAGTGTAAGGAGGGTTTATAAGTCACGCTGGAAGATCGTTCACGAGGGACCATTTACCAAGGTGTGGGCTGGGCTACAGGAGCTTGCAGAGGTTGCTCACACTCCCAGCATCTAGCAAGAGTGTGGAGCTACTCCCTCTGCATTGGGAGGGCCAAGGGATGGGACAGCGTGGTCAGAGTCCAGACAGGGCTGGAACCTCAGAAGAGGAGCCCAATAGAAGCTGCATACACAGAACGCAGCGGCTGCCAGGATCCTTGTCTGATCATTCTCTGTGCCTGGCACTGGGTGAAGCCAAGGGGAGGTCAGAGGGAAGAAAGTCTGTGTTGTAGTCTTGGAGGTCAGCCTCCCCGAGAAGGGCAGACGATGGGTTTGTGCGGCGGGTCAAGGCGGCAGCCAGAGAACAACCAGCGGCATAGGGAACTCGTGTTTGTGGAGTAGGACCTGGTCACCCAGCACTGTGCGGGGCAATTTACAAATGTGACTCCTGCAGTCCCCGAATGTGTGGGCACAGTGGAAACACCCTGGAGCTTTCTGACAATGGCACTTTCAGACCTACTGACTCAGAATCACCGGGTAATGGTGCCCAGGAACCTGTACTTTTAAAAAGCCTCTCTCTGGGGCGCCTGGGTGGTTAATTCTGTTAAGCATCTGACTCCGGCTCAGGTCACAGTCTTGTGGACTGTGAGTTCGAGCCCCCTGTCGGGCTCTGTGCTGACAGCTCAGAGCCCAGAGCCTGCTTCGGATTCTGTGTCTCTTTCTCTCTCTGCCCCTCCCCTGCTTGCGCTCTGACTCTCTCTCTCTCTCAAAAATAAACATTAAGAAAAATTAAAATAAATGAAAATAAAAAGCCTCTCTCTGGGTCATTCTGATGCATGGCTAGAGTTTGGAGTCATTTATTTGGCTGAATTATTACAACATCCTGGTGAGGTAAGGATTTTTATTTTCATCGCGAAGGTCCAGAAACTCAGGCCATTGACACGGCCGCTCTGAGGTGGGGCTGGGCTTTGACCTCACCTGTGTTACCTTGAAGCTCCAGGTCATTTTCCTGTAGCATATCACCTCCACATATTCTCTGCAGAACACCTAATGAGATTGGGTTTCAATTTTCCAGACACGTGCTGAACATCTCTTATGTTCAGATGCAGGCTTTCTGACAAGTGTGTGACTTGGCTGACTGACGAGGAGTTTGGCCAAGTGCAAGAGAGGGGACTCTGGCCAAGAATAAATGTAGTGCCTATGGATATGTAGAACAAGGGTCCAGAGGGCTGTGCACGATGGTTTAGACGGGGCATGTCAGAAGCGTTCTTGGAAAAAGTGTGCAGGGTTCCCTGACCTGCCCCAGAGAGATGGAGAAGTTCACAGTCATATTCCTGCCTCTGAAACTCCAAGCAATCCCTGTGGGAAAGGACTGAGGGAGCCCACAGGGACCAGGGTGCTTGTACGGGATTAGGGATGCTCGCTGGGGTGCCCCACTTGGGGGTCCAACGCCCTAAGTCAGGGGTCAGCAGATCACCAAGGACAAACCTAAGAAGGGTGAACTTGATCTAAAGAAGTGTTCGTTGTTAGAGGCCAAAGACCAGGAGGCATGACGGTGACCAGAAGGGCTTTTCTGCAGACAAAATGACACTAAATGCTTAAAAATTTAGAGGCAGCTCAGAGAAGGACCAGTTCCACTGCACTAGTTAATAGAAGGGAGACGTAGCACATAGGGAAAGCCTCTTTTGCTCTGTCTGCTCCATGGAGGAGAATGTTCTTGGGGTGAGAGGGAGAAGGGAGGCTGGAGAAAGAAGAAAGTTCTGGAAGACGGCACCTACCTGCATAAGAGAGTTTGTGCTTCCTGGGGGCTGGGTGGTTACATTCTGGGACAAGAGAGCATGCCAGGGCACTGGGGCCCGCTGGGCAATCTGTGGGGCACGGTGGAGGAGGAGATGGGTGCCAGAAGAGGGGATGTGGGCACGAGGCAGGCTACCTTCCAAAGAGGGGAGGGAAGTGAGCTGATGAGCTGGTAGCACACACAGAGCCAGATGCTGCAAGTGTTTGGCGAGGGGCTTCTTTGTGTCCATCCGGAGGAGAAGCAACGGTCATTAGGAGCCAAGTAACGTGGAAGACAAAGCAGCCAGTGGAACTGGTTGAACTACATGAAGAGAACTCGATGACACTGGCATGGCCAGACTGAGATGGTCGGGAGGGTGTCGCAGGAGACACCAGTAAGGGGACTTGGGATATTTTGTTTTTCCTGCTAAACAGAAAACCAAGAGAGTCATCTGCCTTCAAATCCTGGAAGGGATAGCATTTGACCAAAGGTTTCAGGGGTGGGAAGAGGGCCACCGGACTCAGGAAGGTCTGTGTTGGTGCAAGAAATGTGAGAATTCTGACAGTCGTGGCTGGGCCAAGGCAGAATGGTGCTTCCTTGGGGCTAGTGAGTTCCCACTGCTGGGACTGTCCAAGCACAGATGGAATGACGGCTTGCAGGAACCCGCTCTGTTAAGAACACAAAGTACAGCCATACGTAAATTAACAAAGAGTAGAGGAAAGTGCCTTTTGGGTGTGATTTCAGTGCTTAAAACAGAGAATGAGAATCAACACGCTAACAAATGTTTACTACAAGTCTCATTTGTATGATGCTCGCTGTGGGGGATGCAGGCTTGTAGCACAGGGCTGCAGGGGGATTGCAGGGGTCCCCCAGGGGGTCAAGAGAGCCCTCAGAGGGACAACTTCCCAGCAGGGGAGACGGATCTTAAATATCTTCCCAGTAGAGGATCCAGGTACTAAGAAGCAGTCAGAAGCCGACCAAATGTTCCAAGGCGTTTAGGATGCTCTATGAGTAGACAAAGGAGCACACTACAAAATGGGTGGTCAGGGAAGGCTTCCTGGAGGAAGTGACATTTAAGCTGTGATTTGAAGGACCAGTTTTCTATGTATGCAGCCTTAAATTAACTATCTTAAATTATAGTTGTCCCTTTCATACACCCAAAATCTAATGTGGAGGCAACAAATACGAGAAAAGCCCAGACCAACATGCTTTTTTACAGCAGTGGGTACAGTTACTGCCAGCTGCCAATGCAGATCTTCTGTTCAGGCCTTTCGCACTGAAAGAGGTGGACGGTCTGGAGGGCCCTCCTGGAAATCTGAGGTCATGGAGTCCGGGTTTCTCCCTAGTGACTCTCCTGGGACGCATTCTACCTCAAACTGGGTTCACCGCGCTCCAGGGCTGCGTGAACATCTCAGCCACCCACCAGGCTGGTCCTGTGTGTGGCTGAAAGAGAGTATGACAGATGGATGGAAACTGACTGCAGCCACATCACAGAGAAGGAGCTCTCCTACCTGCGTGATGTAGAGCCCGATCAGTTTGTAATTTGGAAATGCCGTGGAGAGGATTCTTAGATTTGGGTCGCAAGTAAATTAAGTGCCACCAGTATTCACTGAGTGCCCCCAACATGACAGGCACCATGCTAGATGTTGGGACCTAGGGGCACACGATCCCAGAGTTCCTGCCTTCAGGGAACTTATGGGGAGCGCTGGGGGGTGCACTGAGGACTCTTAAATGGGGGACACCAACGGTTTTGGAGGCATTCGATTCATATGCACTGGGCGCACGCTAGAGTAAGAGTGAAAGCTGCTATTTAATAGAGGTTTGCCATCTGCCAGACACAGGGGCAAGTGTTTTAAAGCAGCTCCCGTCTTTAAAGAGTATTCACCAAATACACATTGGGCGCCAACAGCATGCTGGGTGCTGTGCTAGGTGTTGGGGAAACGGGTTGGGGGAAACTCAATCTGGTGGCACGGGGACTTCCAGCCCAGTGAAGATGGCACACCCACCAGCAAGTCACACTTGCAATGGCCCTCATCCCACGGAAGGTGGCATTTGTGGTAGCAGGGCTTAGAACTTCTCGGTGGGCAAAACGCAACCCACGACCGCGTCATAAAAGTGTCGGTCCTCCCTAAGGTCATTAACAAATCTGATGCAATCCCAATAGCAATGCCAAAAATATTTTTATGGAGATAGACAGGTTGATGCGATGGCTCCGTGTGTAGAAAGCTAATAAGACACTGAAAGGAAAAGTCGTAAGGGTGAACCAGGGCCACCAGAAGTTGAACCACAAAGCCTGCGTGACTACCGCAGTCTAGTGCTGAGGCAGAGATGGACAAAATGGTGGCATTGACTAGAAAGTCCAGAAAGAGACACAGGTGCACGTGGAAAGCCAGGGGGCGATAAAAGTGACATCTGAAACCAGTGGGGAAAGGTGGGCTTTTTAGTAAATCATGTTGGGGCAGGAGGATTCCCATCTGGGAAAAGGTCAAAGTAGAGACAAATCTCCCAGCATACCCAGGAATCAACTCCAAATGGATTAGAGATCTCAATTTTAAAGAGCAACAGAAAGAAACCATACACGTAGGAAGCAGGGGGGATCGTTTTATAGCCCGGCTGTAGAGAACAGCTTTTCTAACTTGACTCGACATCCAGATGCGATAAAAGGAAATGTTGATAAACGTGGGAACAGAAAACACAAACAAACTGCCCACCACAGCCCATCCAGGAAAGAAAGGAGATGATGCTCTAGGAGCACGCGAGCGGGAGGCCAGAAATGCGTCCTTGCAGAGGTGACGTGAGGAGTGGGGTCTAAGGAGCAGGTGGGGGTAAGCATGGGAACCGTGTGGTCCAGGGAAGGGGGGCGGTTCTCCAGCCGGAGGACAGCTTGTGACGTTTGAAGGACTCATCACAGGGAGAGGTTGTGGTGTCCCATGTCACAGAGGGCAATGCTGAGGGCAGGGGACGAGTGAAGGCACACGGCCAGGTAGAGACAGGGCCAGCGGCGGAGCCAGGACTGGTTGTGCAACCACTGGACCATCACCGGCACCTGGACACCGGCACCGAGGCACTGACCCTGCTGTCCTGGGAGCCCGCCTGGGGACCCACGCCAAGAGCACAGAAGCCCGGGGTCTGGCAGTCAGTGCTCGGCCAGAGGCTGGTGGGGCCATCCCTCCCCCGCCCAGGACTCTGTGGACTGTCCCCATGATGTGCGTGTGCATTTCTCTGGAGAGCTCACTGTTAACCATCAGTTTCGGGGCCACTCTCTGCTAGGCACATGCTGGCTTCACTAAGGAGTGTTTCCTTTCCTTCCAGACGGGCATGGCGGACCTTGGGATCCCTGGGCTCCTTCCTGACCTAGGTCTTTAGAACAAATGCAGGGCCTCCTTGCTTCCCTTTGGCCCTGGAAACCCGTTTCTCCCAGGTCCTGAAAGACCCCTGTTTGGGCCAGCACCGTCTCCAGCCTGCTCGCCGTCACTGTGCCCCCGCCTCCAGCCTGCGCTGGCTGTCCTATCCGCTGATGACAGTGCCCCAGGCAGCCATGGAGGACCTCTCCCGAAGCCCCCCCCGCAGGGCCCCGTGCACGCATGGCTCACTGCCAGGCCTCTGTTGGGACTCTGGGTCACAAGCTGCTCTAGCGTGCTTCCCAACCCAGCTGCACACTGCAAGTCTCAAGTGCTGTTTCTAAAACCCCCGTTCCTGGGGGTTCTTAGCGCTCACGCATTGCTTCGGGGACACTCCACCCTTGGCCGTCCTTTCCAGCTCCTGCCACCCTCTTGTCCTGCCCCTTGCTCACTCGTCCTGAAGCATTCCTCACTCGCGACCTGCCTCCGGCTGCCCCGAGCTTTGGTTGTCACCAGGGTCTCAGCTCAAAAGATACTGTGCAGGTCACGGACAGTGTCACCTAAAGTCTGGTGGCCGGAAACAATAAGGCTATGCGTGGTCTGCGAGGAACTTGTTAACCCTACACGTGCTGGCGAGGCTCTGATTCCTCTTATGAGAGGCAGGAAAAGTTCCCGCCAGAGGCCCCAGTGAGGTAGGTGTTCTCCCCTCGGCCTGATGGATCGTAAAGTTCCAAGTGACCCTGGCATTCGTGATCCCTTTAAGGGGATAAACGGACACACCTGCCACGGTCCTGACACTGGGTCTGTTTTACTCGTGGCCCCTCTGCCGACCTGGCCGAACGCGGGCCTGTCCCTGCGGTCCTTCCAGGACGACCCCTGCGGGGTCAGTGCCCGTCTCCGCCAGGAGCAGCTCTCCTGCCTCTGCACAGACTCGGCCCACGGACTCCAAGCACAGCTGGAGCCCAGGCTCTGGACGGAGTCCCCGTAGCGAGCAGCCACAGGGAAAATGCACGTCAGGACAGCAAGGGGGGGCAGGAAAGAGGACATCAGTGGCCAGTGGCCAGGTGCTGTCCGTAGCTGCCCCCTTGCCGGCTGGTGGCAAGAGCGCTAGGGTGGCGGGCAGGGAGCAAGCCCGGGGCCCGGAGAGAAAGGAGGGGGCCCTGAGGCAGAGATGGGCCCCTGCACACAGACCGCACCCCAGAAAGGAGATGTGGAGTCCTTTGTGCGAGAAGAGAGACAAACCGGTACAGGGAGCCCCCTCGGAGTTTCCGTGGAGTCCAGGTTTATTCCTACAGGTGATCATGAATAACAAAGGAGAGCAGTAACAGGGCCTTTTGAAGTGGAAGTAAAGCTGGAGGGAATAAAGAGCTTACCTGATTTATTTTTGCACTCAATATCGTAGCCCGTGATGGGGCTGTTGCCGTCAAACCCCATGGTCCACCTGAGGGTGATTGTGCGAGCTTTCACGTCTTTGATCTCAATTTCGGGAGGGTCTGGGGGCTCTGCGCAATCGACAGGAAAACCCGGGCTTAGTTCAAACATGGCTCAGACAGAGGACGCGGGTGGAAATGCTGAGTACGGCTCCCGAAAAGCCCTGCCAGCCTTTGACGGCAGCTGAAACTTTTACCTGGAAGCATTTTTTTTTTTTTTTTCCTATTCCCATAGCAGGGACGAGAAATTCCACTTTTCCCCAAACGCCAATGTTTACAGCAGGGCTCTGTAAGCAGGCTTTTATCGCGGGGCTGGGCCACCAAACGAGGATGTCACTCTTCTGGTTTGGAATCTCGAGCTCAAAAGAATGTCTGGGCTTCAAATGTTAAACTTCCCTTGTCATTTGCACCGTTTGGCGTAAGGATTCCTAAAGGTGGGCTAACCAGGCACACTGTTACACGTGGTGCACTCTGTGGGTCCGCAGGGTCACCTGACCCAATTCCTTTAAGGATTTGCTCCCTGTGTTTTGGGGGCTGCACCTTGACATCATCATGGGCACTGCAAGAAACTGTTTTAACACCAGCTGTGTGCATGTTCAACATTTTCTGGGAATCAGGAGCTGTTACGTAGCAAGCTGAGCCCACACAAGGGTCTGAGCCTGGGCATACACTTAGGGATGGGGGGGGGGCATGGGACAAGCTGAGGGCAAAACACAGGCTGGCACACCGCCCCCCGCCCCCAGTGGAATATGTGTGATATTCCTCGGACAGTCCTGGCGGCCCAAGAACAAAGGAAAGGGGTTTAAGTGCGTGCCATGGTGATGTGGGGAAACTAAGGCCAATGAAAAATTAAGTTCCCTACTGCCTACAGCCCATTGACAAGTCCTTGAGACCAGCAGAGTGCCTTCCCTCTAGGAGCTCAGCTGCCTCAAGGATGACACTTTGCTGGGGGCAAAAGGGAATCTTGCCTTAACATTGTCCCAACCTCGAGGACCCTGTAAATCTGCTTCCTTTATCTCAACTCCCCCAAGATATACGCTGGCGATCCTACTCCAAGCTTCTGGCCTCCTGAAGGGGCTCGTGAC